GGGACCCGGAGCCCTACACATGCTTCGCCCGCGTCCGACGCTTTACTTTATCAACATCAAGCTCCCGATAATTAGCCGCGGCCCGGGGAATTTGGGACCAATAAGAAGCGCTAATCGGCTCTGACGTCAGAGGCGTGCTGGGTGCAGGCGGAGGTTTTCCACACCGCCTGCTAATTACACCTGACAGGCACCTCCATAAACACCGCGGACTGTCACAACAAGCGGGGGCGGGGCGGCGGGGTCCCTGGCCAGCGCCCCCCGCCGCCCGGCGCCGGCCGCGCCCCCGCGCCGCGCCCGCACTAATAGATTTCCCCTTAAAACATCCCGCGCGTGTTGGGGGATTTTGCAGCAGAAACGCTGTACTCCCTGAACCTTTAAAGTGATGTTGCTCCAATTACAGGGAGACATTGAGCGGCAAATAGACTGATCCGATAATAGCAGATTCATCATCCGCTCCTTCCGAAGCTGTCACATTGAATTTAAAACTACAAGGGCCGCTCCGCGCCTCCTCGCCGGCTCGCGGCCGCGGGGAGAGGCGGAGGGGGAGGGCCGCGGGAGGAGGGGCGGCAGCCTCCCGGAGCGGGTCCAGGCGAGGCCGAGTCCGGGCCCTCCCGGAGGGAAGCGGGCTGCCGGGCGGGGGAGACCGTGCTGGGGTGGGGGGCGCCCTGACCCCCGCTTGGCCCGCCCTGCAAAACCGGGCTCAGCGCGGAGGAGGAAGCAGGCGGCCTGAGCGTGGGAGAGGAACTTTGGCGTGGCTGCCGGCCGGCCCTCCGCGCCCCATAGAAAAGTCAGCCTCTGAAGGGTGGGCCGGGCACCCGACCCGCTTATGATAATTTAATTATGTCCTCCGAGAAGAACACTCCCTCCCTCACCACGAAACACCTATGGACTCAAAGCTAACTCCTTGAAGGACACATTCTTAACTGCCCAAGAGGACTGTGGGCGGGCCGAAGAGGGCATCATACATACATACGTGTGTACACCCACACACATATGTGCGTGTGTATCTCCATATAGTTCCCTTTGAGTTTGCTCATGGGGAGGCCATCTCAGCCTGGCAGCGCCAGGGCCCCAGGTGCGCCGAGCCCTGCATGCCCCTCCCACGTGCGGTAGCCCGGCCCGGCTCCGGCAAGGAGGGAGAAGGCGCGCACCCTGCCTGTGGCCCGGGCAATCCTGAGAGCCACGGACATCGTCTCACTCCAGGGGCAAGCGACAGGAAACTTGGTTCTTGGTGGAAGTGGCTTGGGCCTGGTGGCCAAGCCCAGTCAAGAAGGGGAAGGGAGGACACACAGAACTGTGCGTCTGTTCCTGTCCCAGTGTCTGTGTGCCTGGGGCCGAGAGGAGGTCCCTGGGAAGGGGGCCAGGCCAAGTACCCCAGCCCTGCCTGCCTGGGCCCCGGCCTGCCTGGCAGCCCCGGCCTGCTCCAGGGCAGAGAGGGCGCAGGCCCTAACGGAAAGACTGGGATCTGGGCCGCGGGATTCGGATGGAATTGCCCTGCTCTCTCCTGGTTCCGGGGGAGGGTGAGGTGCCGAGGCTACGGGGACAGGGCCGCTGTCTCGGGGTGACTAAGGCCGGCCTGGGATTCGGGACTTCTCCTCCGCTTTTGCCAGGCACAAGAGGAAAAGGCTGCGAGGCTTAATTCCGAGGTCGGGGGCCAAGAGCGCTACTTCCCGGCATAATTTAATTTCTTTCTCTATAAATACTAAATGTAAACTCGGTCCAGCGCCCGGCTTTCGCCGGCGGCCACCAGCGCCGGGCTCGGGTAGGGGTGCGGCAGGCAGCGCGCGGCGCGTGCGGCTGAATACGGAGCCGCAATCAGCGCGCCAGCGGGGAGGGCGGGGGCGCCGGCCGGGCTCCCGCGGCCCTCTCTCTTTATGATAATGAATTAATTCGACTTTATTTATCCCATTTTCTGGAGCTGACAGAATGTTAATTTGAGTTGAAATTTCGCTCGCCTCTCACTCCCTGACCCCTGGCCCCCAGATCGGCGTGTTGTAATAACCTGAATCTTTCAACAGAGGCCCTGATAATTGTTACCTTATTAGCATGCAAATTGTTTAATTAATATTATTATGAAGAAGCATACAATCCGTCCGTCACTTGACCTCGAGAGCGAGTCCGCGCCGCGGCGCTCCGCGCATCTCAATGCGCCGCTTCCAAGCGCCCAGCGGTTTTCATGTGGCCGGCCCGGCTGGGCGCTCCCCAGTCGCTTCTCGTGGTGGAAAGGGGCCTTTCAGAGACCCTGGGCGACTGCGGCGCCCCCCCAACTTGGAACATCACAATTTCCTAATTGCTGCTTGTCAATTGCGGCGGCGGCGGCGTCCGCTTTAAAGGCCGCCCCTCCGCCGCCCGCCCCCCCCCCCCGCCGCCCCCGCCCCGCCCCCGCCCTGCCGGCGCAGCCCGGTCCCTCCCAACAACTCAATGGGAAACAGCCCTTGACGCGCAGTCCTGGGAGACGCTGCATTGAAATCCCTTTTTCTGCAGCCGAGTGACATTGTCAGACGCTAGCTTTAATTAACTTGATAATAAGACGCACACGACTCGCGTTCAGGACGCCGCTCGCCTCGCCCCGGCCCTCGCCGCCCCCCACCCTCCACTCCGCAGCTACTTTTGATCCCAGCCCGGGTCTCGCTGAGGTCCCCGCGGGCGCCCCCAGGGCCGGCCGCCGGGGGCCCCGCTGCCGGGTCAA